CGATATCTCATTTCGTTTTTGAGATACAATTATTTAATTGCATTTTAATCGATTTAACCTCAATAACGACACGGTTGAATTAAAAAAATTGTATCTCTGGGAATTATGGAAACGAAGAAATTATATTTGACTTGTTGAAACTGGATTAAATTTGCTTCAAAATGCTTCTTATTTTATTAAGATATCTCAATTAGTTTTTGAGATAAGATTTTTCAAATTTCGTAATTTTAACTCTATAATTTTATCACTTCTGGAAGATCACTGATGTGTAGGATAAAGAGAAGACGTCTTAATATTGATCCTTGTGGGAGGCTTCTCAGAACCTTTTTCCAGTCTGAAGTAACATCATCTCTTTCTAATAAATAAGATTTGAACTACTCCAGCGGAAGTCCTCGTATCGCCATAGCTTCCAACTTCTTCAATAAGATGTCATAGTGGACACTGTCAAATGCATTAGTTAGGTCCATCGTTATACAACTGGTAAGATTGTAGATTAATTTTTTCATAGTTATATTTGATTTAACACTTTTCCTCTCAGATGCATCAATGTAGAGAAATATTTTTACTTTCTAACACTTTTGCTCTCAAATGCATCAATATCGAGAAAAATTCGAAAATGTGAAAATTAGAAGAATTCGTAATTTCACAAGTTGCTAACGGAAAAAAAAATCGGTATTCCGAGTGTGATACAAAAAAACTTTTAAAACAAAAGTTGTAGCAAATTTTACCCTTAACATATTACTTTGTAACGCTTTTTCCCTCAGGTGCATCAATGTCGAGAAAAATTGGAAAATATGAAAATTAGAAGAATTCGTTGTTTCAGAAGTTGCTAATGGAAAAAATATCGGTATTCCGAGTGTGATACAGAAAAACTTTTAAAACAAAAGTTGTAGCAAATTTTACCCTTAACATATTACTTTCTAACGCTTTTTCCCTCAGATGCATCAATGTCGAGAAAAATTGGAAAATATGAAAATTGGAAGATTTCGTAGTTTCACAAGTTGCTAAGGAAAAAAAATCGGTATTCCGAGTGTGATACAGAAAAACTTTTAAAACAAAAGTTGTAGCAAATTTTACCCTTAACATATTACTTTCTAACGCTTTTTCCCTCAGATGCATCAATATCGAGAAAAATTCGAAAATGTGAAAATTAGAAGAATTCGTAGTTTCACAAGTTGCTAATAGAAAAAAAATCGATATTGCGAGCATGATATAAAAAAACTTTTAAAACAAAAGTTGTAGCAAATTTTACCCTTAACACATTACTCTCTAACACTTTTCCTCTCAGATGCATCAATGTAGAGAAATATTTGAAAATATGAAAATTAGAAGAATTCGTTGTTTCAGAAGTTGCTAATGGAAAAAAAATCGATATTCCGAGTATAATACAGAAAAACTTTTAAAACAAAAGCGTAGCAAATTTTACCCTTAACACATTACTTTCTAACACTTTTGTTCTCAAATGCATCAATATCGAGAAAAATTCGAAAATGTGAAAATTAGAAGAATTCGTAGTTTTACAAGTTGCTAATGGAAAGAAAATCGGTATTCCAAGTGTGATACAGAAAAACTTTTAAAACAAAAGTTGTAGCAAATTTTACCTTTAACACATTACTTTCTAACACTTTTTCCCTCAGATGCATCAATGTCGAGTAAAATTGGAAAATATGAAAATTAGAAGATTTCGTAGTTTCAAAAGTTGCTAATAGAAAAAAAATCGATATTCTGAGATTAACACAAAAAACTTTTAAAACAAAAGTTGTAGCAAATTTTACCCTTAAACATTACTTTCTATCACTTTTGCTCTCAAATGCATCAATATAGAGAAAAATTCGAAAATGTGAAAATTAGAAGAATTCATAGTTTCACAAGTTGCTAATGGAAAAAAAATCGGTATTCCGAGTGTGATACGAAAAAACTTTTAAAACAAAAGTTGTAGCAAATTTTACCCTTAACACATTACTTTCTAACACTTTTGCTCTCAAATGCATCAATATCGAGAAAAATTCGAAAATGTGAAAATTAGAAGAATTCGTAGTTTCACAAGTTGCTAATGGAAAAAAAATCGGTATTCCGAGTGTGATACAGAAAAACTTTTAAAACAAAAGTTGTAGCAAATTTTACCCTTAACACATTACTTTCTAACGCTTTTGCTCTCAAATGCATCAATATCGAGAAAAATTCGAAAATGTGAAAATTAGAAGAATTCGTAGTTTCACAAGTTGCTAATGGAAAAAAAATCGGTATTCCGAGTGTGATACAGAAAAACTTTTAAAACAAAAGTTGTAGCAAATTTTACCCTTAACACATTACTTTCTAACGCTTTTCCCCTCAGATGCATCAATGTCGAGAAAAATGCGAAAATGTGAAAATTAGAAGAATTCGTAGTTTCACAAGTTGCTAATGGAAAAAAAATCGGTATTCCGAGTGTGATACAGAAAAACTTTTAAAACAAAAGTTGTAGCAAATTTTACCCTTAACACATTACTTTCTAACGCTTTTCCCCTCAGATGCATCAATGTCGAGAAAAATGCGAAAATGTGAAAATTAGAAGAATTCGTAGTTTCACAAGTTGCTAATGGAAAAAAAATCGGTATTCCGAGTGTGATACAGAAAAACTTTTAAAACAAAAGTTGTAGCAAATTTTACCCTTAACACATTACTTTCTAACGCTTTTCCCCTCAGATGCATCAATGTCGAGAAAAATGCGAAAATGTGAAAATTAGAAGAATTCGTAGTTTCACAAGTTGCTAATGGAAAAAAAATCGGTATTCCGAGTGTGATACAGAAAAACTTTTAAAACAAAAGTTGTAGCAAATTTTACCCTTAACACATTACTTTCTAACGCTTTTCCCCTCAGATGCATCAATGTCGAGAAAAATGCGAAAATGTGAAAATTAGAAGAATTCGTAGTTTCACAAGTTGCTAATGGAAAAAAAATCGGTATTCCGAGTGTGATACAGAAAAACTTTTAAAACAAAAGTTGTAGCAAATTTTACCCTTAACACATTACTTTCTAACGCTTTTCCCCTCAGATGCATCAATGTCGAGAAAAATGCGAAAATGTGAAAATTAGAAGAATTCGTAGTTTCACAAGTTGCTAATGGAAAAAAAATCGGTATTCCGAGTGTGATACAGAAAAACTTTTAAAACAAAAGTTGTAGCAAATTTTACCCTTAACACATTACTTTCTAACGCTTTTCCCCTCAGATGCATCAATGTCGAGAAAAATGCGAAAATGTGAAAATTAGAAGAATTCGTAGTTTCACAAGTTGCTAATGGAAAAAAAATCGGTATTCCGAGTGTGATACAGAAAAACTTTTAAAACAAAAGTTGTAGCAAATTTTACCCTTAACACATTACTTTCTAACGCTTTTCCCCTCAGATGCATCAATGTCGAGAAAAATGCGAAAATGTGAAAATTAGAAGAATTCGTAGTTTCACAAGTTGCTAATGGAAAAAAAATCGGTATTCCGAGTGTGATACAGAAAAACTTTTAAAACAAAAGTTGTAGCAAATTTTACCCTTAACACATTACTTTCTATCACTTTTGCTCTCAAATGCATTAATATCGAGAAAAATTCGAAAATGTGAAAATTAGAAGAATTCGTAGTTTCACAAGTTGCTAATGGAAAAAAAATCTATATTCCGAGCATGATACAAAAAAACTTTTAAAATAAAAGTTGTAGCAAAATTTACCCTTAACACATTACTTTCTAACACTTTTGCTCTTAGATGCATCAATGTAGAGAAATATTCGAAAATATGAAAATTAAGAGAATTCGTAGTTTCACAATTGGTTAATGGAAGAAAAAGCGATATTCTAAGCATGATGCAGAAAAAGTTTTAGATCAAACGTTGTAGCAAATTTTACCCTTAACACATTACTTTCTAACACTTTTGCTCTCAAATTCATCAATATCGAGAAAAATTGGAAAATATGAAAATTGGAAGATTTCGTAGTTTCACAAGTTGCTAATAAAAAAAAAATCGATATTCCGAGCATGATACAAAAAAATTTTTAAAACAAAAGTTGTAGCAAATTTTACCCTTAACACATTACTTTTTAACACTTTTGCTCTCAAATGCATCAATATCGAGAAAAATTCGAAAATATGAAAATTGGAAGATTTCGTAGCTTCACAAGTTGCTAATGGAAAAAAAATCGGTATTCCGAGTGTGATACAGAAAAACTTTTAAAATAAAACTTGTAGCAAATTTTACCCTTAACACATTACTCTCTAACACTTTTCGTCTCAGATGCATCAATGTAGAGAAATATTTGAAAATATGAAAATTAAAAGAATTCGTAGTTTCACAATTGGTTAATGGAAGAAAAAGCGGTATTCCAAGCATGATGCAGAAAAACTTTTAGATGAAAAGTTGTAGCAAAATTTACCCTTAACACAGTACTTTCTAACACTTTTTCCCTCAGATGCATGGTGGTCTCGCATCTTTCTACGCTATGGTGGTTCAACAATACGAGTTGAACCATAAGATTGTTCTCATGTATGATTTTTTCTTTTATTATCTTCATTTGCAATGATTGTGTTTGTAAGAGTTTATGTTTTGAGAACAATATAGCAATGTATTATTATTATTTGGCTCGTTGAAACTAGATTAAATGTAAACACATTTAGTTCTTGAGATACAATATTTTTTAAATCGACGTTGTTACATCCACTAATTAAAACGTATAAAAATTATTTTCTAATATACTATAATTCAATTATTGTTGTTATTATTTTTAAATATGTTTTCAATCAATTATTAACAATTAGTATTAAAGCAGTTACGATTTTTTAATACACACGATCTCGTTGCTCTCACGAGAGAAAGAGAGACACAGGAAACAATTATATTTTTAATACCCCATTTTTTAAAAAACTAATTGCTTTATAACGATTACTGTGACCTTGCCGATTTTAAATTGCATTTTTAAATTTGCTTTAAAAGCGAATTTCCGATTTCGAGGTTTTATTTAAAATAAAAAAATTAAAATGTGCAAGTTATGTGCAAACGTTGGAAACGTCGATTTTTTGTATCAAAAAGATGACAAATTAAAACCTGGGGATGTTCAAATTTTGCAAGAATGGATGGCTAAGGAGCAACATTTACCGAAAATTTCGGGTAATTAATTAATTTATTTTAATTTAATTAATTCTTATTGAGCTCTTTTAGATTACCAAATGCTCCTTTTTATAAGTAGTTGTTATTACAACATCCAAGCGACGAAATCGTGCTTAGAAAACTTTTATACCTTAAAAACTCATTGCCCCGAATTCTTTTCCGGTCGAAATCTCAATCAAGAATCGGTTAAAACCCACTTAAACACGGTGTAAATATTAATTAAACAATTTTTTCTTATTAATCATTAATTATTTTAGCATAGCAGCTCCATTTCAGCAATTAATCCCGACCAACAACTACATGGTTTGTATCGTAAAGCTTCATAACTGCAAAACGGACACTTTCGTCTTCAACGACACCATAAAAGTAATCGATATGGCATTGACTATTTACAATCAACAATTAGGGCCGCAAGAAGCCCATGTTTTGATCATGGATGGGGCCGGATTACAATTAGGACACGTCTTAAAAATGAACATAATGAGCCTAAAAAAGTATTTCATTTTCGTGCAAGAAGCGATGCCCGTTCGATTAAAACAAATCCACGTCATCAACGTAAACGGGATAGTTGAGAAATTCGTTAACTTAGTTCGGCAGTGCTTAAAAAAAGAATTACAAGAACAAATGTACTGCCACAGCAAAATGGAAAGTTTGTACAAATTCGTGCCTAAAGAGGTTTTGCCCAAAGATTACGGCGGAAATGAGTTGAGTTTGGAGGAATTACACAAAAATCAAGTTGAAAATATAAAGGAACACATCGATTTGTTGATTGCGGATGAAGATGTGAAATCCAACGAGCAAAAACGGGTGGGGAAAGCGAAGAGTTTGGAGCAATTCGGGATACAAGGAACGTTTAAAAAATTGGATATCGATTAATTATTATTGTAATTCAAAAATCGAAAAAAATCAAGTGGGGTTTAAAGGAAATTTAATAAAGATTCGGTGTGCCAAAAAGTATTTCTTAATCCAATACTACTTTACATTTATACAAGAAAATTAAAAAAATCGTATCTCAAAAACTAATTAAGATATCTTAATAAAATAAGAAGCATTTTGAAGCAAATTTAATCTAATTTCAACGAGCCAAATATAATTTCTTCGTTTCCATAATTCCCGGAAATACAATTTTTTTAATTCAACCGTGACGTTATTGAGGTTAAATCGATTAAAATGCAATTAAATAATTGTATCTCAAGAACGAATTGAGATATTACGATGAAGTAGAATTCATTCTAAAGCAAATTTAATTGAAAATTATTGTGTAGAAAATTATTACTTTGTCTAATCAAATTTAGTTGTTATGATTATATTAATTCACTTTTGACAAGTTCAAATTATAAACACCAAATTTGAAACAATTATATCTCAAACACTAATTGAGATATCTTAATGAAATAAGAAGCATTTTGAAGCAAATTCAAATTAATTTCAACGAGCCAAATATAATTACTTCGTTTCCATAATTCCCGGAGATACACTTTTTTAATTCAACCATGTCGTTATTGAGGTTAAATCAATTAAAATGCAATTAAATAATTGTATCTCAGGAACGAAATGAGATATAGCCATGAAATAAAATTCATTTTAAATCAAATTTAATTGATAATTATTGAGTAAAAAATTATTTCTTTATAGTATCAAATTTTGTTGTTATGATTTTTTTAATTCACTTTTAACAAGTTCAAATCATAAACACTAAATTTGAAACAATTGTATCTCAAAAACTAATTGAGATATCTTAATAAAATAAAAAGCATTTTGAAGCAAATTTAATCTTGTTTCAGCGAGCCAAATATAAATCCTTCGATCCAATAATTCCCGAAGATACGATTTTTTTAATTCAACCGAATCACTAATGAGATTAAATCGATTAAAATGCAATTAAATAATTATATCTCAAGAACGAAACGAGATATCGCCATGAAATAAAATTCATTTTAAAGCAAATTTAATTGATTATTATTGAGTAAAAAATTATTTCTTTATAGTATCAAATTTTATTGTTATGATTTTTTTAATTCGCTTTTGACAAGTTCAAATTATAAACACCAAATTTGAAACAATTGTATCTCAAAAACTAATTGAGATATCTTAATGAAATAACAAGCATTTTGAAGCAAATTTAATCTAGTTTCAACGAGCCAGATATAATTATTTCGTTTCCATAATTCCCGGAAATACAATCTTTTCAATTCAACCATGTCGTTATTGAGGTTAAATCGATTAAAAAAAATTAAGTAATTGTATCTCAAAAACGAAATGAGATATCGCGATGAAATAAAATTCATTTTAAATCAAATTTAATTGATAATTATTGAGTAAAAAATTATTTCTTTATAGCATCAAATTTTGTTGTTATGATTTTTTTAATTCACTTTTAATAAGTTCAAATTATAAACACCAAATTTGAAACAATTGTATCTCAAAAACTAATTGAGATATCTTAATAAAATAAGAAGCATTTTGAAGCAAATTTAACCTAGTTTCAACGAGCCAAATATAATTACTTCGTTTCCATAATTCCCGGAGATACAATTTTTTTAATTCAACCATGTCGTTATTGAGGTTAAATCAATTAAAATGCAATTAAATAATTGTATCTCAAGAACAAATTGAGATATCCCGATAAAATAAAATTCATTTTAAAGCAAATTTAATCTAAAATTAACACTCCAAAAATTATCTTTTAATTCCAACAAGTTTTGATGTAGCGATTTTTTGAATTCAAATTGCATGAAATTGATTCTTTTAGAGGTTATTTTGATATCATCGATTTTTAATAAATCGTATCTTAAGAACTAATTGAGATATCGCGTTGAAATAAAAAGCATTTTGTAGCAAATTTAATCTAGATTAAGCACACTTAAAATCATTTTTTAATTCCAAACAATTTTTAAAGAGCGATTTTCTAGGTTTCATCGTAATTTTAGAATATTGTTAAATTTTAAGAGTATGTATCTCAATTAGTTAATTGAGATATCAACTTGAAATAAAAAGCATTTTAAAGCAAATTTAATCCAAAATTAGAGCTCCAAAAATTATCTTTTAATTCCAAGTAGTTTTGATGTAGCGATTTTTTGAATTCAAATCGGACAAAAGTGATTAATTTAGAGGCTATTTTAATAAAGACGATTTTAAAAAAGTCGTATCTTAAGAACTAATTGAGATATCGCGATGAAATAAAAAGCATTTTAATGCAATTTTAATCTAAATTTAGCACAGTTAAAGTTATTATTTAATTCCAAACAATTTTGAAGGAGCGATTTTTTTAAATTCATCATAATATTAGCATATTGTTAAACTTTAAGAGTATGTATCTCAAAAACTAATTGAGATATCGAGTTGAAATAGAAAGCATTTTAAAAGAAATTTAATCTAAAATTAACACTCCAAAGATTATCTTTTAATTCCAACAAGTTTTGATGTAGCGATTTTTTGAATTCAAATCGCACAAAATTGATTCGTTTAGAGGTTATTTTAATTAAGTCGATTTTTAAAAAATCGTATCTTAAGAACTAATTGAGATATCGCGATGAAATATAAAGCATTTTGAAGCAAATTTAATCTAGATTTAGCACAGTTAAAGTTATTATTTAATTCCAAACAATTTTGAAGGAGCGATTTTTTAAAATTCATCATAATTTTAGAACATTGTTAAACTTTAAGAGTATGTATCTCAAAAACTAATTGAGATATCGAGTTGAAATAGAAAGCATTTTAAAGCAAATTTAATCTAAAATTAACACTCTAAAAATTATCTTTTAATTCCAACAAGTTTTGATGTAGCGATTTTTTGAATTCAAATCGCACAAAATTGATTCATTTAGAGGTTATTTCAATTAAGTCGATTTTTAAAAAATCGTATCTTAAGAACTAATTGAGATGTCGCGATGAAATAAAAAGGATTTTGTAGCAAATTTAATCTAGATTTAGCACATTTAAAATTATTTTTTAATTCCAAACAATTTTTAAGGAGCGATTTTCTAAGTTTCATCGTAATTTTAAAATATTGTTAAATTTTAAGAGTATGTATCTCAAAAACTAATTGAGATATCGAGTTGAAATAGAAAGCATTTTAAAGCAAATTTAATCTAAAATTAACACTCCAAAGATTATTTTTTAATTCCAACAAGTTTTGATGTAGCGATTTTTTGAATTCAAATCGCACAAAATTGATTCATTTCGAGGTTATTTTAATTAACTTGATTTTTAAAAAATCGTATCTTAAGAACTAATTGAGATATCGCGATGAAATAAAGTACATTTTGAAGCAAATTTAATCTAGATTTAGCACAGTTAAAATCATTTTTTCATTCCAAACCATTTTTAAATAGCGATTTTTTAAGTTTCATCATAATTTTAGAATATTGTTAAACTTTAAGACTTTGTATCTCAAAAACTAATTGAGATATCAATTTGAAATATAAAGCATTTTAAAGCAAATTTAATCCAAAATTAGGGCTCCAAAAATTATCTTTTAATTCCAAGTAGTTTTGATGTAGCGATTTTTTGAATTCAAATCGCACAAAATTAATTCATTTAGAGGTTATTTTAATTAACTTGATTTTTAAAAAATCGTATCTTAAGAACTAATTGAGATATCGGGATGAAATAAAAAGCATTTTGAAGCAAATGTAATCTAGACTTAGCACAGTTAAAATCATTTTTTAATTCCAAACCATTTTTAAAGAGCGATTTTTTAAGTTTCATCATAATTTTAGAATATTGTTAAACTTTAAGACTTTGTATCTCAAAAACTAATTGAGATATCAACTTGAAATATAAAGCATTTTAAAGCAAATTTAATCCAAAATTATCGCTCCAAAAATTATCTTTTAATTCCAAGTAGTTTGGATGTAGCGATTTTTTGAATTCAAATCGCACAAAATTGATTCATTTAGAGGTAATTTTAATTAACTTGATTTTTAAAAAATCGTATCTTAAGAACTAATTGAGATAACGCGATTAAATAAAAAGCATTTTAATGCAATTTTAATCTAAATTTAGCACAGTTAAAGTTATTATTTAATTCCAAACAATTTTTAAGGAGCGATTTTCTAAGTTTCATCATAATTTTAGAATATTGTTAAACTTTAAGACTTTGTATCTCAAAAACTAATTGAGATATCAACTTGAAATAGAAAGCATTTTAAAGCAAATTTAATCCAAAATTAGCGCTCCAAAAATTATCTTTTAATTCCAAGTAGTTTTGATGTAGCGATTTTTTGAATTCAAATTGCACAAAATTAATTCATTTAGAGGTTATTTTAATTAACTTGATTTTTAAAAAATCGTATCTTAAGAACTAATTGAGATATCGCGATGAAATAAAATACATTTTGAAGCAAATTTAATCTAGATTTAGCACAGTTAAAATCATTTTTTAATTCCAAACCATTTTTAAAGAGCGATTTTCTAAGTCTCATCATAATTTTAGAATATTGTTAAACTTTAAGACTTTGTATCTCAAAAACTAATTGAGATATCAAGTTGAAATAAAAATCATTTTAAAGCAATTTTAATCCAAAATTAGGGCTCCAAAATTTATCTTTTAATTCCAACTGGTTTTGATGTAGCAATTTTTTGAATTCTACTCGCAGAAATTTAATTCATTTAGAAATCATTTTAAAGGTAAATTTGGGTTAATTGAAATAAAACAAACCATTTAATCGTGATTGGTCAAATATATATATTTTCTGTCATTTCTAAGTAAAACAATTATTTCATTTCGTAGTCTTTAAGGTTACTTCAAAGTCTTTCCTTTTTAATTTACTCATTTCTTGTGCTCTAAACACTAATTTTTAAAATTTTTAATCTCTTTAAATATTTGTGCTTCCCACATTATTTATTGACAAAAAATCGTTAGATTTTTAAAATTGACTAGATTACCTTAATTATTGCTAAAAGAAAATTACTTACCACTCGTTTTTTTCGTGTACGTTCTGAAAAACCAGTGCATTAACCAAAACTTTCTTAATCATAATCGTTTCATGCAATAACAAAAACAATTAAAAATAAAATAATTTTTTTAAACATTTTTTTTTTGTTGAATTTTTTTAATTTAAATTTGGCGCGCTATGCTGACGTTTACCGGATATATTTTGGTTGTTGCCAACGTCACGCCTAAAGCGAGCCATACAAACAAAACAAAAATAAAAACACCAACAATACCAACAATAATATTAAAATAGCAACAGCATTAATTCAATCAGCGAAATGTAACAAAAAAATTCTTTTTCGAGCTTTTCACTCGTATTTTGAGCCTGTCGTGTCGGGCGATATCAAAAATCGCGTCGAATTCGAACCCTCGCAACAACTTTTACTATTACTAGGAGGCACTTTTACTACTGATATTTTCTCCTTCAGTTGGCTACACTTTTTCTGCATCAGCTTCAATTGCGCGTGAAGTTGGCCGCTTAACTCCCTTTGCAATCCTTGCACCTCTTGAATATCTCTGTGTAAACTCTGATAATTCGATTTCACCTCGTTTACCGACTTCAATAAAGTATAAACTTCGATTTCTTTATCTTCTTCCGAGAGCAAATCCGAGGTTATGTCACCTACTTGGCTCGCCAAATCATCTAACTTCTCATCGGTTTTTTGCATCTTTTTCATATGGAAAATTAATAAATATAAATCGAAATATTATTCGAACTATACCTGCTTTTCAAGATTAACCACCGCTTCTTCCATGATTTACAACTTAATTATTATTAACCCCTTCGAAGAGGAAGCGCGTTTAAAATCAATACTACGTTTAGATTTAGTTTAGAGCGCCATCTGTTGCGGGTTATTCAAATTAAAACAAAGCGCCATCTCTTATTCAAACTATCAATTTGATTTATTTATTAAATTATTAAAAAATTAATGATTTAAATAGTTTTTGAATAAAAATAGTCACCTAAAACGTTATTAATCAGCAAACAGCACAGATTTATATAAAAAGATCTTTTCATTATGACCGATTTATGCTTTTTAGGAACGTGGAAGTGATTCAAACAATACCCACTTAATAAATCAACTCCGATACAATTCACAACGTTCTTTTTATCCATGTACGATTTAATTTTCTTCTTATTTTGTCCTACATTAATAGGGGTATATCTTATTTCTTGATCTTGTAGTAGCCAAGTGTAATAAAGATCTTGATCATAATGTAAATATGAATATGTCGGTACATAATGAGATTTTGTCTGTTGATATCTTGGAGTTATCTCATTAATACTTGACGATTTCGTAGTTGGTTTTTGTAGTTTGATCTTCTGATTGTTAACTTTCTTTTTCGTTTTTTTGGATGGTAATTTCACTTCTCGATATTCACGTATACGAATTGAATTTCTTTTAATTTGTTGTTTAGGAATTGGTGGTGGTAAAAGACGCTCATATTCTTCATTTAATTCACTTTCTCCGCTATAAGAGTTATCTGAATCTGAATCGCAGTGATTCTTCAAGTATTGGACTGCTGAATAATTGGATAATGGTTCATTGTAACTCATCTTGTTTACGGCAACTTAAAAAATGATGGATATTTAATATTAATATAGTGTAACATAGTATTAAACTTACTTATTTATAGTAGAGAATGTAGAAGAGGACAAAATACAGCCGCTAAAAGTTATCAAGGTTCATTAGGTGGGAGAGGTGGGAGAGTAATGCTTTAAAATGAGATAGAAATAGTATATTAAAAAACAAGTTTCGTAAGACACGCTTGAAAGGCACGAATTCAAGTTGTTTAATGAATGAGTGCTTTAAGTCTTATGAAACGTGTTTTTTATGCTATTTTTTGTAATTCGCGTTTTTATCCTTTTTTTTTAACAAAAATAAAATAAATTTTGACGATGCAGGGAAATAGGTATGCAGCAGTTGGTAACACTTGAAAATTGAATTGACAATTAGAAATTGTCAAAACACAAAATGTATTCACCTCTTTGATTATATATAATATGGATTGAGCTAACTGAATATATTGTAATAATTTTAACATTCTCTTAGTTCACCGAGAGAACATAACCTAGAATTTGTGACAGAGAGATTTTTTTGTTGGTAAAAATCTTATCTTAAACCGGTTAGTTTACTTCCAAATGTATCAATTATTAAAGTTCAGCTCCTAAAGCACATTTTTCATTCATCGTTTGAGGTTTTAACGTTATTTTGAGGAAGAAATCCTTGATTTAAATTTGAATTTTTCCAACTTTACTCATTGTTGAAATTTGGCGTGTACTCCAATGTATGTCTAAAAACAAGAAAAGACAACGTTGAATACGAAGTTTTATTACGTTTCATAAAGGAATAAGGGAGAAATCAACGAAAAAAGAATTAAATTTTGAAGGTTAATTCCGAGAAAGATCAAGAGATGACGCTAGTTTCGAAGCAAGAATTTTGAATTTTGAAAAAGGGCGCGAAGCTAAGAGCCAATCAGAAACGAGGAAGAAACAGCTGGAGTGCCGGGGTATATAAGGAGATCGCGAACAGGGAGTGAGAGAGTCGTCGTCGGACCAGCGTTGAATCCACGTCGTCAGATAGAAGAATTTTGAAAAGATAACCTCAAAAAAAATTAAGATAATTTTTTTTTAAAAAAAGTCAGACCAACTTACAATATTAAAATAAAAGAGAATCATCCTACAACCTATTCCAAGAACTGCCGATACTTCTTCGAGACCATTCCAAGACCCTATTTCCAAAGAACAAACAGTTCAAGTTCCCGTAAGAAGAATCCTGTAGACAATCCAGAAAATTAGTTAGTGCCCCGAACACAAGAGACAATCCATAATCCAGATACCACATTGAACTCCAATCCATTATTTTTCACAGTGAGTCGGATGATAATTTTATTTTATTATTTAACATAACCTACAAAAAGAAAATTCAAAGAATCAAACTCAAAGAACAACCCGCAAGAGTTTCCTATAATTTTTGATCAATACTTACTTCGATTGACATCTCTGGCACGTAAATAATGAGTTATCCCCGCTTTGTATGGTTTATACTTATTTTTCTTTCATATTCGGGAGCAGCGGCTTTTGGGTGAGACGTCTTGTTGCAATTTCTCTTGCAGGTCATTTTGGTATGTTTTTGTATGTGGTTTGGGGAAGGACCAAATATCTATTAAATTTTTTGCTAGCCGGCTGAAACCGGCTTTTTTACGTGCGGTTGCCTTCTTTCTGGATATCTTGTGAAATAAAATTCCGCGGCTAACGTCGCATTCTTATCTGATAACATATAGCATTCTATCATGTAACATTTTTCATAATTTTCGAAATTCATTGTAAAGTTTTATTCAGTTTTGTTATACTTTGATACTTAACATGCTGGTGCATCGTACCAGCACATAATGCCAGAGTTGTTATCGAATTTTTAAATATAGTAGACGCCACGAGAGCTGGCAGTAAATCATCGTTTTCCGCTCTTACAAATGCCATACGTAGTTCACAAATCGCAAGAGAGTAATGTGTGTTAGAAAGAGATAGCATTAGTTTGATATGTCTGCTGTACATTTCAAATGGCCACGTCGAAAAAGTACGTCTGTTCTTCTAGGGATGTAACTCTATAATTATAACCTCAAATCGAAACGTCTTGTGAGCGTTGTCATGAATCTGTTAGTGTTTTCACAAGCCGAAAATGTTTTTTTTTAAGGAAAATCATTAAATAATATCTTTGACAATGTTTGACATATAACCTCCATTACTAACATAACCTACATTTAAATGTATGTGGTGAAATAATCTAAGTCGTACGTCCATATCTTGATTCATACCATTTTTAAGCGATCTGTCACTGCCAGCTCTCGTGGTTTTTACTATACAAACTTTGGCAATTATGCCTATGCCTATGTTGCTATGGTTATCACCATAGCAACATTAACTTTTAAATACATACATTAGTTTTAGATGGAACAAAATGAATTTTTGTTAATTATTCAATAACTATAAGAAATATACCCCACAAACTATATATATTTGTTATCAGAAGAAAATAACAAATTATTTTAAGTCATAGCCAACTATGGTTTCCATTTAAAAAAATAAAGTTACGTCTAAAATCTCGAAAATAAAAGATGGGAAAAAAATTCTACCTACGCCACTGAATTCTTCGTAAAAAGTTGCCCATATAATGTTTTATTTATAATACTCCATCTTTGATAATAAGTGAGATATTCGCGATTGTCGTTTTCGCAAAATTTTCAGTTTTTGCCGATAGGGCGAAAACAAAAGACGATAGCTGTTCGGAGTTTTCGGCATTAGCATTTTTTCGAAAAACGAGATCATGACATGTAAGCTACTTTTTTTGTATTTCTTTTAGTTTCGGAGATAGCCTATGCGGACATCGAAATTGGGACACCCTGTACTGTTAGAGCTTTCGTTACCGTCGCGAATTATAAAAAACCTGTTACATAAGCTCGGATATTTCGGTACCGTCTCAAGCCGGATTTAAGTCGGATCGGTTGAATACATTTGAAGGGTACAGGGGAAGAACATACTAAGTCACAAAAGTCAAGTTGCGAGATAATCGAAGTTTAAAGTTCAAAACTCTATAACTTTTTAAATATAGATAATGCTATTAATTAGTTTGAATAAGAAAGTATAACAGATTAGTCTTAATAAATACCCTTAGTATCATTTTTTTTGAAATTTCAAATTTGAAGAAAATTCAATGTTGACAATTTTTAGCAATCATTTTTTTGGGAAGT